ATCCACAGTTAAAAAAGAGATTAACCACTGATGAATCCAAGTTAGTAAAGAGACTTAACCATGCGATCCACAGTTATTTAAATAGGACTTAACCATGCCTAAACCACATTAGTAAGAGACTTAACCATGCCTGAATCCACATTAGTAATAGAACAAAACCATGACGAATCCCAGTTAATAAAGAGATTTAAACCCACGCCTGAACCACTTTAGTCATAGAGACTTAACCACTGCCTGAATCCACAGTTAATAATAGAGATTTAACCACTGACTGAATCCACAGTTAATAATAGAGACTTAACCACTGCGTGAATCCACAGTTAGTCATAGAGACTTAACCACTGCCTGAATCCACAGTTAGTCATAGAGACTTAACCACTGCCTGAATCCACAGTTAGTAATAGAGACTTAACCACTGCCTGAATCCACAGTTAGTCATAGAGACTTAACCACTGCCTGAATCCACAGTTAGTCATAGAGACTTAACCACTGCCTGAATCCACAGTTAGTCATAGAGACTTAACCACTGCCTGAATCCACAGTTAGTCATAGAGACTTAAACCACTGCCTGAATCCACAGTTATTCAATAGAGACTTAAACCACTGCCTGAATCCACAGTTTAGTCATAGAGACTTAACCACTGCCTGAATCCACAGTTAGTCAATAGAGACTTTAACCACTGCCTGAATCCACCAGTTAGTCATAAGACTTAACCACTGCCTGAATCCACAGTTAGTCATAGAGACTTAACCACTGCCTGAATCCACCGTTAGTCATAGAGACTTAACCACTCCCTGAACCCATTTAGTCATAGAGATTTAAACCACTGCCTGACCCCATTTAGTCATAAGATAACCACTGCCTCCCTCTTGATCCTGAACCGACTTTTCCACCCCGTTTTGATTTCTTGCCCTTTATCTCCTCTTTTTTTCCTCCCCCCGGGTGCCCCAAAGGGTTTTCAAAAGGACCGATCAAGGAGGAAGCACTGGTCTCAACCTGCCTCCTTGCCCACCCCCCCCCCCGGCCAAAGGCGGAGGTTTAGGGAGGAGTTGTCTCTGGGGGGTCTGTGTCTAAAGAAAAAAAGCTTTAAGCCCCCCCCCCCCCAAAAAAACAAGCATTTTTGACATTCATCACCACAGAGAAAGACTCACAGCTCACAGAAAGACCCACAGTTCAGAGGAGAGGCCAGGAGCATTATAGTCTTCACAGTCAGTTCACCCTCAAGACTAATGCTATTCAGAGAGAGATAGAGAGAGGGGGGTGGAGAGAAAGAGAAGGGGAATGGAGTGAGGAGAGAGAGAGAGAGAGAGAGGGAGTGAAAGGAAGAGAGGACAGAGGGTGTTGGTTTGGCGGCGAGTCCTTGGACACGTCAAGAACAAAACACAGTATCATCACTCATACCAACGCGACCAACCCAACAGCAAGGACCAAAAAGAACGGGGGGCCGAAAAAGCAAGCGGGCGGGCACCGGTCCGAAACAAGAAGAACAGGGGAGGACAAGACGACGGGGCCCAAAAAAGAGGGGAACAAAAAAGGAGGGGACACGCGGAGGCACAGACCGGGAAAAACACGAAAGCAGGGGGCAAACACAAACCCCCCAGCAAAAAGGAAAACGCAAAAACGAAGGCAGGCAAGCCCCGAGCCGCAACGGGGCAGAAGCTACCACCCATCAGGCTATCCAACCGCCAGATAGACGAAGAACCAAAACCCAACCCAACACCCTCTCACAAACTCTTCCACCCCCCTTCCTACCCTCATCCCTCTCCCTCTCTCTTCTCTCCTTCTGTCCGGAAAAAAAATAAGACGCTGGGGAAGATGACTAGCCGGGAAAGATGAAAGCGGCATTCGAAAGAATGTTTAACGTTTGAACCTCTTGGAATGGGAACCACTTGGATGTCCTTGAATACTATAGGCTTTTCTCTGCTCTCTTCTAGCCCCTTTCTCTCTCCCTTTTTCCTCCCTTTTTTCCCTCTCTTTTGCTCAATCCCTCTTAGGCTTTTGCAAGGAAAAAAGGGGAATGCCCAAAATTAGTAATGAAATGATAAATAAAATTAACATTTAAAAACTTAATTACACTACTTTTAATCTCCTTAATCTCTCCTCTTTTTAATTCAATTCAATTTAAATTGAAATTTAAAGTGTTTTTAAATTGCCCAAAAAAGAGAGAAAAGAAGAAAGAGGGAGGGAAAAAAAAAACAAAAAGCAAGGAGGGAGAGAGAACAAAAAAGAAAGAGGTGGAAAAAACGGGAGGAGAGAAAAACGAAGAGAGAAAAAGAAAGAACGAGGCGGGCGAAAACAGAGGAGAGAGAAAACAGACAGATAGAGGGGGGAACAAAAGGCGAGCGCAAAGACAGACAGAGGGAGAGAGAAAAACGAGGAGCGAGCAAAAAGACAAGAAAGAGGGCGAGAAAAAGGCGAGAAGAAAACAAGCAGACAGAGGGGAGAGAAACGAGGTCGAGCAACAAAAGAAAGGGCGTGCCACACCCACACTGTCTTACC